TCACACGCTTGAGGTATTCGGCCAATCACAACGCACTGGATAGCTGGCCAATCACAGCACACCTCGCTTTTCAGACCGATGAGCTTTGTAAAAATCGACGTGTTTCAGAAAGGCGGGGCATAGAGGAGAAACAATAATGTACAGTATGTAGAAAATAATGTGTTTTTTTAACCTTAAACCGCATAAACACATTTCATTACACCAAATAATGTTCTTTTTAGCAGCATCATATGACCCCTTTAGCTAAAACTACAATAGTAAAACTATACAGACATTTAAAAAAACAAAAACACAATGACTAAAATTGTAAAATGAAGGAAAATATTCAAATAAAAAGTAATTCAGCATAACAACTAGAATTATAATAAAACTTTTTTAAAATGATATACACATACTTTAAAACTAATACAAATGACAAAACAACAATTACTCAAACTTAATGAAAAAAATTATGAAAATTAATTAAAAACATTAACTAGAAAAAACTAACAAAAACAACAAATAAAATAATAATAATTTTACATTACAATAAAAGCAGAAACTATTCAAATAAAAACTAATTAAAAATATTAACTAGAACTAATAGTAAAACTATAATAAAAACCATAAAGTAATGGTTAACCATAAACAAATACACAAAAAATTAAAAGAAAAACAAATTTCAAATATTTACTAGAACTATAACAGTAAAACGCTAATCCAAACTATACAGACATAAAAGACAAACTAACAAAAAAATTATTACAACTTTAACTAAAATGAAAAATAAATCGAACGTTATCTGAAATTAAAATGAAAAAGGTCATAAGCAGCACAGGCATATTTGTAGCAATAGCCAGCAATACATTGTATGGGTCACAATTATACATTTCTCTTTTATGCCAAAAATCATTAGGATATTAAGTAAAGATCATGTTCCATGAAGATATTTAGTAAATGTCCTACCGTAAATATATCAAAACTTAATGTTTGATTAGTAATATGCATTGCTAAGAACTTCATCTGAACAACTTTAAAGATGATTTTCTCAATATTTAGATCTTTTTGCACCCTCAGATTCCAGATTTTCAAATAGTTTTATCTCAGCCAAATATTGTCCTCTCCTAACAAACCATACATCAATGGAAAGCTTATTTATTCAGATTTCAGATGATGTATTAATCTCAAATTCACAAAATTGACCCTTATGACTGGTTTTGTGCTCCAGGGTCACATATATTAAGCAGAACTGTAATGGTGAGACTATAAGAGTGTGTTACGGATGCTAAAACAACACTGGTGTCGCCGGCTGCATGGGGAAGTGAGGTGGTGTCCGTGAGGGTCATGTGACGTGTGAGGATGACCCTGGACTCTAGTGACTGACTTGGAAAAGCTGGCCAGGCTCTGCACCACCTTGGCGATGAGCGTGAGGGTTCGAGAGGTGCGTTCGGACGGATACTCCTGCGTCAGACTGAACAGAGACGGGGACATGATGGCGGGACACAGGAAGCGCAGGAAGAGAGACGAGCTGATGAGACGGTCAGCGATGTCCTCCCGGCCGCGCTCAGCGCAGCGCACACGCCACGACGCAAACACCTCCTTCAGCTCGCGAGGAAACACGCTGCAGAGAGAGAACACATCCCATCATGCACTGACATCCCTACACTAAAAACACCTCGCACTTCAACACTGGCTTTCACACAGCTCTGGAAGCTATGAATTAGTATGTCTAATCTAGTACATTGCATCAAAATAAAACACTTATTAACTACATTAAAAAAAAATAAATTAAAAAACAATAAAAATAAAACACTTACGAATAATTAATTAAATAATACAATTGAAATAATTTAAAAATAAAAACCATTAAAATACTAATAATGAATTAAATCATAACTATGTAATAAAATAAAAAATGAATTAACTACATAAAACTGTACAATTGAAATAAACATAAAAAACAATTAAAATAACACAATAATAATTAAATCATAAAAATTTTAAAATAAATAATTTCAAAATAAAACTACTAAAATAAACTGCATAAATTAAAATGGACTACATCATAAAAATGTAAAATTGAAATAAAATTTTTAAATACATGTAACCAAAATAAAACAATTTGTAATAAATAATTAAAACGCAAAATCTAAATAAATTTAAATAAAAACAAATCAAAATGAAACACTTACTATAAAAAATGGTGTATTAGTTTAGCTGCATGTCACGTGACACCAGAGATCCGTGAACATGTGAAAGTGTTAAAGTTACTGAAGCAAGGATTGGTCAGCTGACAGGAACTGACCAGTGTGAGTTGATGATCTTGCAGAGCGCTAGTTCACAGCACATGCGCAGGTTAGCCTGATGATCCGACAGCACCGACGGAGGCGTTCGCATCGGATCCACCTCACAGTTCTCCTCCGACTCGTACAGCGCACGGATGAACTCTCCTGCAGAGCAGAGCGCCCCGTCATCATCATCATCATCCTCACACACACACTCTCTCTCTCTCTCACACACACACACACACACACACACACACTCTCTCTCTCTCTCACACACACACACACACACTCACTCACTCACTCACCGATGGTGTCTTTGAGATAGCGATGCGCGATCAGCTTCAGGAACTCCTCGATGGCTTTGGTGGCCAGTGTGTTTTCTCTGAAGATCACATGCTCGCGGTTGATGAAGCGATCCACCTCACTCATGGCCATATCAGACAGGAAGTCCTGAACACACACACACACACACACACGTTTGACATCAGCTTGCCTGGCCACTTCACAGGGATCCTACACGTGATCTTTTAGTAGTACCGTATTGTCCCGAATATAAGACAATGTTTTTTTCTTGGAAATACATCTGAAAAAACGCGGTGGTCTTATATTCAGGGTCTAGACTTTGACATGTCAATAATACACCCACAACAATAGGTGGTGCCAAATACGCATAAAACGAGTGTGCCATGAAATACGTAATGTAATGCGTGTTGTAAAGATCGCGAGTAAAAACAAAAGAAGCAGAAAAGCTTACTCCTGCATGAGTCGTGACTGTCACGTTAGCCTGATGCGACCAAACTCTCTTTGTGATTTTAAAACGTAAGACAGAACCCAGATCTGAAGACTACAGTAAGAGTTAACTTCTACTGTTAATAAGATGTTGGTGGGCTACTATTAGATGGATAGCCTAAATGTCCTAATTCAGATGGGCTACCTGTAGGAAAAGTATGCAATATGAAAATAATTGAAGACAAAATGTGTTTTACTGAGAAAAAACAAGATCTGGTTTTTAAAAAGCCTTTTTCCAAAAGGTAAATCTGGAAAAAGGGGGGTCGTCTTATATTCGGGCCGATACGGTAATGTAGTCTTTTATTAGTAGTTTGAATTTAAAAAAAAAATTGTTTTAAGTTTTGAATTTCTGTTCATTTTAGTAATTTTGTTGTTGCGTTTTTCTAATTTATATTATTATTAACAAAAGAAAAAAGAGGAAATCAATAACTTTTAAGCTTTAAGGATTCATCTATATTTAATTTAGAATTTAGTGTTGGATAACTTTAATTTCTGTATGTTTCTGCTGAAGGGCACAGGTAAATATGACATTTATTATAATGGGTTTATGTGAAGGTTGTTTTAAGTTCACTTAAATTAGAAGGTATTTAAGTCTAATAAATGTTAAAATTGATAGCTCTCAATCATAATGTAATGTTGAATGGCTATAGTCAATGGTTAAATATTGGGGGGGTCAATTTTTATAGAGAAATCAGTATTGGTGTCATTGACACTGGCCTTCAGTAATAAAAAACAAATATTTAAAAATATACCATCTTTATGCTGTTTGTACATTCATTTGAGGATTGAATGTGAAATTATTGCAATAGAAAAGTATATTTAAAAACTTCAGTAGGATTAATCGTGATTAATTTCAGAAAAATGTGCAATTAATTAGTTAATTTTTTTTAATTGATTGACAGCACTATTATATATTAATACACACACATGCATGTATATATTTTGAAAATTTATGCTGTGACCTTCGTCGCTCGGAGCGCGAGGTCAGTGGCGGTTCGGAGCCCTTTCAGAACTTCCGGATCGTGACCACCCTCGTGCAGGTCCTTCGGTGCCTTGGCCTGATGAACCTGCAGTAACGCCATACTGTGTAAGGCGGAGGCAGCTTCTCCACAAGCCATATAAGCACCGCCGGTCAGACCAGACGAATGCCTACAGGCCCGGGAGGGGAGCGACGGGTTTCCCCAACAGGAGGAGGCGGTCTTAGGACACAACTGCATCGCTACCGACCGCTCCACCGGGGGGATCGCCGTATACCCCCTAGCTGCACCCCGTTGAGAGTGGTCAGGGAGGAGGAACCAGCAGGTCGGTTTCTGGCATGAGCTCCTCATGCACCTCTGGGAAGAAAGAAACCGGGGCGGGGCGCAAGCCACCCCGAGAAACCAATCATCCAACTTCGAGGGCTTGGGACGCGGTGGAGGTTTCCACTCGAGCCCTACCCTCTTGGAGGCCCGGGAAAGCATAGCCGACATCTCCGGATCTGATTCAGGTGTTGCCGCCGAATCTTCCTCTCCAGAGAGCTCTCCCTCCGAAGCAGTGATCGACATCCGGTTGTCGGGAGGAGCACCTGGTTGCGAAGCGCTAGAGGAGCGATGGTCCCCCGAGGGTTGGTTCCCTGAGGGGTTTGCCACCACAGTAACCCTCAGACCGCCCGTGCTACTGCCCGAAGTAGTCCTCGCCGAACACCAGATCGCGGCAGAGGCAACGGAGCTCCGCACCCCCTGGAGGAAACGGAGCCTGGCCCGCAGCTCCGAGATGGTCATCTTCCCGCAATGGGAACATGACTCATCCGCGAACGTCACCTCAGCGTGTTTAATGCCCAGACACATGAGGCAGCGATCGTGACTGAAGCGAAAAGCTGGTATGCGTTGCTCCGGCTACCTTTTTATGCTCACGCTTTGATCAGCGGCAGCTGGATGCAATCATCACATGCCAATGTGTATTGGCTGGTTTAGTTTACACTCGAAGTGGATTGGTCTCTTTAAGCGAGTTCCCATTTCGTCAGTCAACGGCGTGACGTCGAGAGTGACCGACTGAAAGGGAACAACTACTAAAAATAAATATAGTTATTGTTATTATAATTTGCAGTTTTAATAATAAAGAAGACTGCTTTATTATTATTCATTTCTATGTTCATTTACAAGCTGCATGGGTTCTTGATCATTACAGATTTTCAAAAATCCCATACGTCACAACCCTACGTAGTTCTGGGTTTTTTAGCTTGTTTGCTGTACATCTTGTCACACAGCAGCTTTTAGGCATTGTTCTGTTTTTTGTTATAAGTCAGAAATGACAAGGAGGCAGCTTCCCGCAATACATAGTCAACGGAGAGCGTTGGATTGTTTCCCCCCCCAGTGGGCGTGGCCTAAATGTGTTCTGTCTCTATAGCAACATTTTGGCGTCTTGCGTGAGTGGAGAAGAATTTAGCTGTTTGGTATCTGGCTAAAGACTCTTTTTGTCCGTCAATTTTAACTAAACTACCGCTGATAGACGTGCTGTGTTTGGTTAATGCTCGGGAGGCTGCTTTAGAGAGCGCTGTCTTGCAGTGTTGTCATGTCCTCATATTTACAAGTGCTTTTAGGCATGTTGTTTGGTCTTAGCTCATAAAGATGGAGTTAATAAAGTGCTCTGTTGCGGATATGAGATATATGATTCTTTTTTTGAGTGTGTGTGTGTGTTATAAAACAAAGCATTTGGGTGTTTTAGTGCTTGTCCTCGTTTGTTGTTGTTTTTTCTATGAAGATCTGTAAACACTGACACTTTACCTCAAGGCTTTACCCCCCGGTGTGGGCATGGTTTTCAGATAATGACGCGTGTCACTCTGTCTCTATGGTTACAAATGCGGAGTGACTGCTGTTCTGTACACACATGGAGCAATAATTTACAGGCCTCACTCCCGCATTTAAATGTGGCTGTCGCTCCTGAAACCGGCAGTGTGTACGTGGCCTATGGGTGTGAGCGGAGCGCTCTGACCTTGGCTTTGCCGGTGCTCTGCAGGATGTGCACCAGCGCACAGGCCACCTCCTCCTTGCTCTTGGCGCTCAGCAGCGGCTCCAGGACGCCACACAGAGTCCGGTAGTTGTTGGTCACGTACTCGGCGAACTCCTTGTACAGCTCCATGGGAAGGATGCTCATGGTCTGTATAAAGCAAAGCATTTGGGTGTTTTAGTGCTTGTCCTCGTTTGTTGTTTTTTTTTCTATGAAGATCTGAAAACACTGACACTTTACCTCAAGGCTTTACCCCCCGGTGTGGGCATGGTTTTCAGATAATGACGCGTGTCACTCTGTCTCTATGGTTACAAATGCGGAGTGACTGCTGTTCTGTACACACATGGAGCAATAATTTACAGGCCTCACTCCCGCATTTAAATGTGGCTTCCTGAAACCTGCAGTGTGTACGTGGCCTATGGGTGTGAGCGGAGCGCTCTGACCTTGGCTTTGCCGGTGCTCTGCAGGATGTGCACCAGCGCACAGGCCACCTCCTCCTTGCTCTTGGCGCTCAGCAGCGGCTCCAGGACGCCACACAGAGTCCGGTAGTTGTTGGTCACGTACTCGGCGAACTCCTTGTACAGCTCCATGGGAAGGATGTTCATGGTCTGGTAGCGGCACTTGAGGCGCAGCGAGGCGTTGATGATCTTCCCGCTGCCCACGCCACCGCCTTTAGCCAGAACGCTGGGCTGGATGACCGGATACCACTGCTCCGCGAAATGACGGCCCGTTATGCTGGGGATCGGGATAGTGACCAGCCCCAGAAACGTGCTCTTCTCCTATGTCACACACACACACACACACACACACACACTTCTGAGGACTACATCTGACTAGAGAATTTAACCATCAACAACTGGCCAAGAAACTGTTTTGCATAATGCCGCCAAATGATTAATCGCATCCAAGTTTTTGTGTACAGAATATATGTGTGTGTACTGTGTATATTTATTATGCATATATAAATACACACACATGCATGCATACAGTATAATTCAGAAAAATTTGTTATGTTTATATATTAAATATATTTATTTATAATATAAATTATATGAATAATAAATACAATATATATGTCAATATTTTCTAAATGTATACTGTATGTGTGTGTATTTATATATACATAATAAATATACACAGTACACACACATATACTGTGTAAACAAAAACTTTTATTTTGGATGTGATTAATCTCGATTTGACAGCACTAGATAGCATTATTTTTATCACAGTGACTGGATATTTTTGAGACTTATTTCGCGTCTTTTTCACATTTTTTCTAGTCATGCTCATGGCAAACTCTATAAAACAGCATCTGTTACAAAAACTTAAAAATGAATATTAATTATGTTTTATATGTATTAAACGTGTATTATATGTTTTGTGATTTCATTAGGGATGTAACGATATCAAAATCTCACGATACGATAATATTGCGATATGAAGTCCACGATACAATATTTATTGCAATATTTGAAAATAAAAAGACAAATGAAGAAATGTAAATTTTGTACATTTTAAAGTTAAGTTATTCTATCTAATGCACTTTGAGAGTTCAGAGTTAAGAGCTCCAACCCATGTTCTTAACTAAGAAAACTTGAGTCAGAAAAAAGTCAGTGAATTGACTCGTACCTGAACTTTAAAGCAGACTCAACCCTCTTTTTATTTGTGATCTACTGTCTCAGTCTAAATTACATTCACACTGCTGTTTTAGGAAGCCAAACAAATTAGAATAGAATAACAATAATGACAGTAGTAGCCATATATTGTAAAACAATTGCACTGTAAAATGAATATTTCATAGGTATATTATTTTTGCTTTACACTACAGTAGGGAAATTACAATACTTCGAGTTGTCCTGAGACGCGGAAGACACCAGATCACGAGTTGATCATCTGAACGAAGTGTGTGATTCACTTTAAAACACACAGCGAAAACAGACTTGATGAAGAGATTAAACATATCGTGCTTTTGCTTTGAGCTCGTTTGACAGATAGCATAATGGCCCAAAACAAAGATATTTTAAAAGCTACACTTTTTGCCCGGAAGACCTATCGTTTCATATCGTCATGTGACCACGATAATATCGAGACAGTTTTGCTATCACGATATTGATCATATCGTTACATCCCTAGGTTTCATGCAATGTTATTTTAGTATAAATGGGATACTATTATAGTTTTTGTTATTTGAATTAGGCCTAGATTTTATTTTTTATATTTTCTGCATTTTTAATTTTTAAAATATTTTATTGTTTTTGTAATTTTTATTAGTTTTCCTTGGTTTTTAATGTCTATAAGTTTTTATACATGTTTTATTTCACTTTATGAAAATTACAACTATCTGAAATAAAATGTTTTTAAAGTTGTAATTATTTTAAACCATTAAAGTCTTAAAATTGCACCTTTACATTAAAAAAAAGATTAAATAGTTGAAGTTTATGCATTTATTTGATTACCACCGTTTTTGTACAGAATTTCTAAAAACAAATAAATAAAACATTTCATAGTAGCCTATTATTCAAACCTTAATAAAGGATTAAATTTGTAAAGTTTTATGAATTCAATTGATTAGACATGCTTTTTGATTACTGAAATTTAATTAAAGCATTAAAATTTAATAAAAAAAAATTCAAAAGGAAAACATGGAAATCAGGAAAGCATAAAGCTGACATCATAGGCTATTACTGATAAAATTGTAATAAATTATAACATTTTATGAATTCAATTGAATAGACATGGTTTTTGATTATTGAAATTTAATTAAAGCTTAAATGGAATTCAGAAATTTTTGAAAGGAAAACAGAATTTAGGAAAAAATTAAAACGGACTTTAGAAAATAAAATGCAATTCATGGAATTTGGGAAATTTTTTTATGGATTTTATAGGGCTATACTGTTAAAATCGCAAGAAATTCTAAGATTTTCGAATTATAATTTTAATACAATTGATTATACAGGCTTTTGATCATTACAATTTAATAAAAACTATTATCGTGGTCACATGACGATATGAAACGATAGGTCTTCCGGGCAAAAAGTGTAGTTTTTAAAATATATTTAAACTTCTTATTCTAACATAAAAGGTCTTTAAAGTTGTGTTTTGGGCCATTATGCTATCTGTCAAACGAACTCAAAGCGAAAGCACAATATGCTTCATCTCTTCATCAAGTCTGTTTTCGCTGTGTGTTTTAAAGTGATTATTATTCTAATTTGTTTGGCTTCCTAAAACAGCAGTGTGAATGTAATTTAGACTGAGACAGTAGATCACAAATAAAAAGAGGGTTGATTTTTGATTTTGATATAGTTGCATCCCTAGTAGTTTGTGATGTGACCGCAGGTGTACTCATGTATGAGCAGACCTTGCGTCTCTTCTTGTCCGTCTCCTTGTACAGGTGCAGTCTGAGGCTGCGGATGGCCGGCAGGTTGTTGAACTCGAAGTGTTCGCCCCAGAACACGGTGTCTGTGCGCGGTTTGCTGGTGGTTCGCGCATACAGCATGTCATCCAGACACAGCTCGCAGTAATAGCGCTTCTTCGGAGGGAGATCACGGGCCTCGATGATCCACAGCTTCAGCACGTTATCAACACGACGGCTGTTATCCTGCAACAATATTAACATAAAACAGATGCGTTTATTTACAACGCTTGACAAAGGTTTATGTACTTGTTAAGTGTAGAGCAGGGTTATTATCGTTAACTAAAACTATTAAAAATATCTCTGTTAACTAGAATAAAGTTGACTGAGCAAAATTTAGAAATGTTGCCTTGACTGACTGAAATTAAATAAAATTGAAAAAAAAAATTAATAAATAAAAACTTTAGGCAAGGAACAAAAAATTTGGCTAATAGTTTTATTTGAAAAACGAAAGCTAATAAAAATTACAAAAGCATGTAACAAAACTGCAAAAATTTTATTAAAATAAAACTAAAAATATAAAAACAAAATCTAATTGAAAATATTAATAAAAAAACATATAATAGTAATATATAAATTATACTAAAATAAAAAATACCAAATGAAAAAATGTAAACTAAAAGAAAATTAGAAATCTTGCCTTGGAAACTAAACAAACAATGTTTAAGTTAAAGCAATAAAATAAAATATTAAACAATAATAGTATAAATAATGCTAAAATCTGGGATAGAGTCAAAAAAGGGAAAAAAAAGTCTTATAAATGTTCTGACATGTCAATAAATGCTTTTTTAAAACCAACAATAGAAGTGCATTTGCTGCAAAACAAAAAGTTGTTTTAAAATCATTTTGAGTATGTATTTTGGAAAATAAATGTCCATTTAAAGACTCCATATCATTCAGTATTCTGATGTTCCTGACATGGAATCAGTTTGCAAGTGGGCTACTATGAGATGACAAATGATTTTACATCACATTTACAATCTACAGTCTTTATTTTCTCAGTAAATGGACCAAAAATTTACATTTAGTCATTTAGCAGACATTTTTATCCAAAGCGACTTACAAAGCAGAAGCAGTCAGAAGGTTACTCAGAAAGGTGACCTGCAGAGGAGTGTGTGTTGTGTCCGGAGTCAGTGTGAGGTTAGAAGTGATGAGGAAGTGGTCTGAGGTGTGCAGTGGAGTAACTAAAGTGTTGTCAGTTGAGCAGTAGCGTGTGTAGATGAGGTCCAATTGGTTACCTGATTTGTGAGTAGCTGTAGTAGACGCGCTTGAGGTCAAATGAGGCGAGCAGAGTGTTGAAGTCAGCAGCCTGTGGTTTATCTAGGTGGATGTTGAAGTCACCGAGCAGTACTAGAGGAGTACCGTCCTCAGGAAAGTTTGAGAGTAACACATCCAACTCATTTAAGAATTACCCAATTGACCTGGGGGACGATATAGAACTACAAAATGGATTGTAACAGGGTGGGTAATAGTAATTTCGTGTGATTCAAATGAACTGTTGCCGGTAAGAAATGGTAGACTATCAAATTTCCATTCTTTTGAAGTAAGTAGACCTGTCCCTCCTCCCCTCCCAATCGGTCGAGGGTTGTGGGAAAACGTGAAATTAGTGGAGAGGGCTGCAGGAGTGGCAGTGTCCTCAGGTTTGATCCAAGTCTCCGTTAGGGCCATGAGGTTGAGACTTGAATGAGTAGCAATAGATGAAATGAAGTCTGCTTTGTATACAGCAGACTGGCAGTTCCAGAGACCAATTGGAATAGATAGTAAAGTAGTAGAGGACATAGGGACAGTACGCAGATTATTAGGATTGCACTGCCTCTAATGTACAGTGCGTGATTTCCGAGTGTTAGTAGTAATACTAGAGATTTGAAAGCACATAATGAGTACAATTGACTAGAACAAGTAGATGAGAACAAGCTATACAAATAGTAAAGAAAGGGAAAAAAAGCAATACTCTGGTGCCTTGTCGGTGTCCTTGCTCGGTGGAGTCGCGCAAGTAGAGTCGATGGTCTTTACACTTGTCGGTCTTCACACGAGGGCTCCCGCGGTGTACTGAGCAAATATATACCTCCACGTAAGGAGAATTCAGCTGGCCACGCCTTACTACTTATTAAACCGAAACTGCAAAGCCACGTAATACGCAAGCGAACAAACGTGACTTGAGCACGTGTTTACCACGGTAAACACAGTAAACAAAACAATGTGTCCTAGCAACGACAACAGCGCTAAAATCTAATGCTGTCCTCCTTTGCTGCTTCTACTAACAAGTACTTGCAAACAAGGTAAATTATACCTGGTCAAAAATATTGATGCTGTGCATACATGGGCGTATATTAATATCTTACCCATTAAACACTCTCTGATTAATATCATGACTGATGTGGTGATGCAGAGTAAAGGCGGGTTAGAAAGTGCTGGTACCTTGTTGGGTTTGATGGCTCGCTGCAGATTCTCGATCCATTTGTCCCTCTCAGCAGCAGAGCGGCACGCGAAACACTTGGTGCCCGAAGCAGTCGTCACCTGAAGCACAGAGAAAGCCCTTTCATTACGCACCAATCACACATTATATCTGTTTATTTTTTATCATTTTTATATGATTATTCAGCTGAGCATTTGTAGTCTTTTTTGGTATGTATTCGTAAAATATCGGTTTCAAGTCGATAAAAATGTTCAATTTGTTATTTTTATTTCTGTGAAGCAGTTTTGACACAATCTGTATTGTATAGAGCGATGTCGAAATAAATGTGACTGACTTGAAGAATAAAAACTGGAATCATTATGTAATCCCAGAATTGTATTCGCATATTCTTCAATAAAAACAATAGTTATTTACAGGGGAAAATGTATTTACATATATTTATTTAAATATATGTAAATATACAGTTTGCGGTCATCTTGATTTTTAAATTGTAATTATTAATAGTAGGGATGCAACGATAGGATTTTTTTTTTGGCCGATACGATACCAATTTGAACAAACAACTATTGGCCGATTCCGATATTGGTCAATTGCATAAAGCAGGGCTTAAAAACAAACAAAAAAAAATCACATTTGCGTAGGCCGTACTATGCTGTCTGAAAAACTATATTTTGTTCAGATTTTATTTTGGCAAGTATTTAATTATTTTGCCCAGAGAAAACCGTTGGATTATGCAACAGACATGCAACTTATTGTCTTCATGCACTTAATTAATAAACCATTGGTATCGGCCCTTTTCATGCTATTTCTGATATGCCGATGGCTTTAAAATAATCAAAAATTTGATACATTGGTGCATCCCTAATTAATAGCTATTAATTAATAAAAAATAAGGATTTAATTCATTACATTTTTAAAATATTGTATGTTTTTAAATGTAATTAAATAATTTGGTGACACTGTACAATAAGGTCTCGTTTTTAACATTAGTTAATACATTAACAATGACCAATATATTTCATAGCATTTATTAACCTTGGTTAATGTTCTTTACTAAAAACACAACTGTTTATTGTTTCTTCATGTTAGTTCATGGTGCATTAAACAATATCAATGAATACAACTTTCAATCTTGAAAATGTGTTAGTTAATTATTAGTTAATGTAGAAATTTACATTAAGATGAATAAATGTTTTAGAATTATTTTTCTTATTATAGTACATGTGGAAAGGATAGTTCGCCCAAAAATGAATATTTTGCTATCATTTTACTCTCCAGTACGAGTTTTCTTCTTCTGTTGAACTTATTAAAATAAGATATTTTGATAAATGTCGGAAACATTTTCTGGTCCCCACAGACTCCCTTAGTATTTTTTCCATGGTAGGAACCTGTGGCTCTTTGACAAAAATGACGTGTATGCTTTTATTTAAAGCATACATAAATGCAGTTATGCCCTAAAATTCAAGATATTTGGTCAAAAAATGCTCCTGTATGAGTTTTTGTTGTGCAACCTTACTGTAAAGTGTTAGCCAATAATTTTATGTCCACTGATGTAGTTTGTCACGTTGTGTTATTCTCTAAAAATCTGGATGGTGGTGACGGTTTGGCTAAGATCTGAGGATCTCAGGTGTGAAGTCACGGTCATATTCAGACATCAGCAGTGAATACAGACTAACAGACCTCGAAGCAGTACTCCTGGCCGAGGATGCTGGAGTGGACGGGTTTGATGATGGCATCCTCGTCCAGCGTGAGGTCCAGAGCCTCGGCCGCGCTGCTGGGAGACAGCAGGGACTCGTGAGAGTGAGACTCCTTGAAGCTCTGCATGAGACGTGTCCTGCACACACACAGACGGAGCAATATATATGTGCTGTGCATCTGTGTGACTCACTGAAGCACGATGGGAGAGTGAGTCACTGTATGCATTGCAGCAGTGTGTGTGTGTGTGAGAGAGAGTGTGTGCGTGTGTGTGTGTGAGAATGTGTGTGTGTGAGAGTGAGAGTGTGTGTGTGTGCGCGTGTATGAGAATGTGCGAGAGTGAGTGTGTGAGAGTGTGTGAGAGAGTGTGTGTGTGTGAGAGAGAGTGTGTGTGTGTGTGTGTGAGAGAGTGGGAGTGTGTGTGTGAGTAAGTGAGAGAAAGAGTGAGAGTGTGTGTGTGTATGAGAGTGAGTGTGTGTGTGTGTGAGAGTGAGTGTGTGCGTGTGTGAGAGTGAGTGTGTGTGAGAAAGAGTGTGTGTGTGTGTGTGAGAGAGAGAGAAAGAGAGTGTGTGTGTGTGTGAGTGTGTGTATGAGAGTGTGTGAGTGAGTGTGTGTGTGTGAGAGTGAGTGTGTGTGTTAGAGAAAGAGTGAGAGTGTGTGTGTGAGAGAAAGAGTGAGTGTGTGCGAGTGTGAATGTGGGAGTGTGTGTGTGTATGTGTGAGTGAGTGAGTGAGTGTGTGTGTGTGTGTGTGAGTGAGTGAGTGAGTGTGTGTGTGTGTGTGTGAGTGAGTGTGTGTGTGTGTGAGTGTGAGTGTGTGTGTGTGTGAGAGTGAGTGTGTGTGTTAGAGAAAGAGTGAGAGTGTGTGTGTGAGAGAAAGAGTGAGTGTGTGCGAGTGTGAATGTGTGAGTGTGTGTGTGTGCATGAGAGAGTGTGTATGTGTGAGTGAGAGTGTGTGTGTGAGAAAGAGTGAGTGTGTGCGAGTGTGAATGTATGAGTGTGTGTGCGTGTGTATGAGAGTGTGTGTGTGCGTGCGTGAGTGTGTGTGAGAGTGAGAGAGTGTGTGGGTGTGTGTGTGTGTGTGAGTGAGAGAGTGTGTGTGTGTGTGTGTATGTGTGAGTGAGAGTGTGTGTGAGAAAGAGTGAGTGTGTGCGAGTGTGAATGTGTGAGTGTGTGTGAGAGTGAGAGAGTGTGTGGGTGTGTGTGTGTGTGAGTGAGAGAGTGTGTGTGAGTGTGTACCTCTCCTGGTCAGCGCTGCGGAATCGTGGGAGGATCATGTGGCGAAAGCTTCCCGTGCGGTCGAGTTTAGGTTGGCTCTTTGCTCGTTTAATTGATCCTTTCAGACGGCGACTTAGAAAACTCTGTGAACACAAACACACAGTCAGTGTTAGCGCAGGACACTGCTGAAGCAGGTAGAGTTTCTCCAGCAGAGGGTGCAGCGAGTCAGTGATGCTGTTCCTGGACCGCAGTCACTGCTGCTGCTGCTGCTGCTGCCCACGCAATGCTCGCTGTGTGTGTCTCACGGTGATCGCTTCCCTTTTAGCACACGCTCAAACAGACTTCGCAACCAACTTACTAGCATATTTCAGGAAAAAAAACCTAGAGCGGAACTTTAGTTATTAGATGGAATGATGAAATCCCCCTCAGGCTATCCCAGGTCAGGATTAGTTTGTTTCTTCATCAGATTTGGAGAAATGTGTCATTGCATGTGAGTCAGTGTTCTGGTGTGAATCAGGAGAGAAATCTGCACAGATCAAGCAGTGCTTAAACAGCTCTAAACACATATGTGGCTGGATTCTGATGTGAGAGACAATAGCAGATGCACTTTTTCACTGGAGGAAGCATTATTATGGATTATGGACTCTATGGTATTTTAGTTAAAAACCTCTTAATGCTGGATTTGTTTCATCTTCTGTCTTCTCAAGATGTTAAAGGGGTCATATGATTCGATTTCAATTGTTCCTTTCTCTTTGGAGTGTTACAAGCTCTTGGTGCATAAAGAAGATCTGTAAAGTTGCAAAGACTAAAGTCTCAAATCCAAAGAGATATTCTTTATAAAAGTTAAGTCAACCACGCCTACCTAAAACGCCTCGTTCTAACACGCCCCCACATGTCTACCTCACTATGTGGGAAGATTTGCATAACACCGCCCAAATGTTATTCTCGCTATAGTATTGTTGCCGCTGCCGCCATGTCGTGAACACATTTTGTGTTCTTATTTGCTCCAATAGCAAAAGAACATAATCCAACATCCATAATAGCAATTCTATGCCTTAACATACATATATGCAATACGGCAATAAACAGTTTTGATTTCATGCCGACTTTAAAGGAATAATCCACCCAAAACGGCTCGTTCGCTCAGATCACTGTCCACTGGAAAAGAGCAGCAGGAACATTCTGACAAGCATCTGATTTTGTGCTTCACTGAACTCAGTAACTGATGACCGAGTGATGAATTTTTGAGTGATATGTCTGGTTCCTGGGAATTTTCTGCTTGGAACAAAACGGACACATGCAGCAATTTCATATTCCTTTCTCTCCTGTCGTGTTTTTTGGTAGGATTTACCGCTAACAAACCTAATTAACATAAACAGAAATTAGCTTCAGCTATGATTCATTAAAGGTGACATATCATGAAAATCTGACTTTTCCAGGTTGTAAGTGCTATAATCAGGTGCATCTACCAACCAAGGAAACGTGAAAAAGATGAACCCAGTAACTTTGTTTTGGGAAGCATTTTTCTGCAAGCGTCTGAGAAAACGAGTGCGTCTGATTTCGCTCCCTTAGTGATGTGGCGAAGGGATCTCATTATAATATTACCGCCCCTTAATCTGTAAGTTTCCTGTGTGCGCTCAGAAAACCTTATATCAGAAGTTTAAACTCGTATGCTTTCAAACGCATGATTTCAGCGCGATAAACATGATAATCAGAACCAAAACAGATGTTTTTAACAGGCAAGAGCTGTAATAGCTCTATTCTGGAAAAGGGGGCGGGGAGCAGCAGCTCATTTGCATTTAAAGAGACAGGCACGAAAAACAGCGTGTTTCTGCTTCCACTCAAAATAGGCGTTTTTAAAATGATATAATAAATGATCTGTGGAGTATTTTGAGCTGAAACTTCACAGACACATTCTGGGGACACCAGAGACTTGTTCTCATCTCATCAGCACCATCGTCCTCACGTAACTCAGTATCTGATTTCAGTGCGGCGAGAAGAATGATGGGAGATTTTTAACATGGCTTCAATTATGCTGCAGAGATTTCCTACTTTCCACAAGTCGTAATTATGAGTTTCAAGAGCTTAGTCATCGGAAAGAAAGGAATCATGGTAGACGCCTATTTCTTTAAGAAATCGTATTAAAGGCAAAGTGTATGAGATATTTAGTCAATATCCAATGGTTTTTGAATAAAATGTAGCGTCCCATTTGTTAACAAAGATTAATATAAACATTAACCACACTATCTACAGTTTGTGAGTACAAATGGATATATTATTAATAATCTAATCATTTTTCTACTGTATAATCTTAAAAAATAAATCAAACATATTGTCTATCATTTGGATCTTTTTAATTTTATATACTGTTTTTAGTAATGAAATTCACACATGCTTTGCAACATTTCTGTAGGAGCAAACTAAAAAAAACAACCCACACAAAACACGACTAAAACACCGACCTGAAAATACATGCAGAACACACACACACACACACACACACACACACACAGAGTTTTATATACTAACTGTGATGAAAAACTTTCTCTATTTTTATAATAAAAAACTTTATTTTTTATGATTTTTAAAAAGGAGGACATCCCCTAAATATGATTAAGTAGGCATACACACACACACAATTACATCTTAGACGTCTCTACGGGGACATTTTGTCAGATTTAGTTCACTTCTGAAGACAAATATGCCCCAAAACTACAGCTAGTCAGTAAACCCACTTTTACACACACACACACGCACACACAGACACACACATACTCACACACATACACATACACACACACTCACACGCACACACACAGACAGACACACACACACGCACACACAGACACACAGACAGACACACACATACTCACACACATACACATACACACACACTCACACGCACACACACAGACAGACACACACACACGCACACACAGACACACAGACAGACACACACATACTCACACACATACACATACACACACACTCACACGCACACACACAGACAGACACACACACACGCACACACAGACACACAGACAGACACACACATACTCACACACATACACATACACACACACTCACACGCACACACACAGACAGACACACACACACGCACACACAGACACACAGACAGACACACACATACTCACACACATACACATACACACACACTCACACGTACACACATAGACAGACACACACAGACACACACTAGGGCTGCACGATATATCGTTTCAGCATTGATATTGCGATGTTTAGTATAGTATCGTTATATTTATACTGATAGTTTTCTTTGCTCACACACAGACTCGGTGTCTACACCGGACACGACAGCTGTACAGAGATACTCATTTTAAATACATTTAGTAGTGGAACTACTGCACACAATTTTCAGTGCTGGAAATCCGTTTATTCTTCGTTGAAACTTCCGCGTTGTCGTGGAGAGCACAGGTCACGGTTGCTTAGCAACGGCAGACGCCATGAAAGCGCAAGCTCCCGAGCGCCTTGGAAAGGAGGAGAAAGCGTTTTTTAGGCGCGACATGTGAACGGTCCCAAAGTCGGTCTACACTGGACGCGACAAAGCGACCGTTGCAAATCATTTGAACTTTGTGTCAGTACGTCATAAAGAGAACGAGGCATATGTCGGGGATTTGTCGTGCCATGCTGCATCCAGTGTAGACTCGGTGACAGCCACGCAGATGCACGTGAACACTGAATTCTGTTCACTTCTGCGTCTCTTTGTGCCTGAAATACTGTGCTCTGCAGGTATCCTTGTAAACACAGATACTTATGGCTTAGGCGAAGTGAAACAATTGAGAGAGAAAATGGATGTGTAACAGTATATTGGTTTACAGCAGTTTAATGTTCCTGAGGCTTTCTGTGTTATGAATGTTAATCAAACAACAAAACACAAAGAAAAATCACTTTTGTAGCTTTAACACAAACTGAATTTATACAGTGAACACTATGCAGTGTTATTTCACATTTGATTATTCAATTTCTGTACCTGAATACTGTTAGACTCACCGGAAAAATATAAAGCACTGCTTATTTCATTTGTATCTTTGTTCCGTTATATTTATCTATGCTTAGTGTTGTCACGGTACCAACATTTCAGTATTCGGTACCAATACCAGTGAAAATCCACGGTTCTCGGTACCAAAGCAAAACACAAACACATGCTAATTAAAAATTTTGACTATACTTTCATTTAATCCAAACTGTGTACATATTTCATTAAAGGGCTTTTAAAACCTTCTAGAGCTATTCAGCCAAGAATAACAACTAAGTTAGCTAAAAATAAAAAAAAAAAGCCCAGAACTGCTTTTCTGACTGATATGACACAAACCATGTTAACCATTTGTACATTCTCTAACGCGCATATTTTAGATTCACACTTCATTTAAAAGCCTCTGGTGTGTAAAAATAGTAAATATCATCATGTCATACTGTTTTTTTTTTTTACCATAATAAAAGTTATAGGAGCATTAAATAGTTAATAAGGAAACTTCATTCTAATGCTCATTATATTAGCGTTAGCCGCACTTATGCTAACGATTAACTACTCTAATAACAGTGATGTTCATTTCAATCCGACATTCTAATTAAAATATTGAATAACATTCATAACAGAAGCGGTGTTTCCCACAGACTTGCACTCTATTTGTGGTGGCATATAACGGCTGTAAGCGCTGCGCTCACAAACGCTGCTCAGGCATTACAGGCAAGATTAAATGAAAATGACATCCATAATTTTATAATTTTCGCCGGTTTCCTTCAGAAATACAGTGATATAAAAACATCCGCACCAGGTTTCGACTTTGACACGTGCAGTGCGCTCATGTTTATTCAAAGTCAAAGCATTTTGGAAAATCTATTTGTGGCAGTGAGTTTTGATATTGTGGCTGTCACCACAAATAAATCAATGTATGGGAAACACTGAGAAGATCTAATCATCTAAATATTAAAAATTAAAATTAAACCTGCTTGAACTCTTTCATTTGATCTGGGTGTCTGTTTTTAAAGTGTTTTATTAGTTTGGTGTGTTTCCTCATTTTGATGTCACCACGTCTCAGTGCTTTTATAAAGAGAGCGCATCTGCACACCTTTCGGATAGTGCATCAAGAACCGGGTTGAC